TGAGGAACCTCTTGCAAGGCTTCCTAGAGGTGGTGTGCACTATAGAGGATGGCTCTAGAAGAACAAATCCGCACACACACAAAACATTGCAGATGCTTTCTTGATAGAAGCAATATAGCAGGAAATGAAGGCCTAGAAACAATCCTCACTGGTGACCAGGTGAGTGAAAAGAAAGTGTTTGCAAGTATGCGTTTGGGGGATGATACTTCTGTAATTCTGCGTTTGGAATTCTTGGAGACTTCTGGGAGTTTAATTTTTAAAAATGCATGGTGTACACTTAGTGACTGCACATACTTTAGCAGTTTAGGAATTCATCATATTAATTCATACGTTATTGAATTAAGGGCAAGGAGAAGCTATAGACAGAAGAAAAGACAAAGAATGAACACAAAATGTACTGATTCACTAAAAGGAGCCACAGACTTGCTTTGCAAGACCTGAGCAAACCTATTAAGGTTAGAACCTTTTTGAGGTCAGGAATTCACAGGGTTGCCATAAGTCAGAATCAAATTTTCAGTAAGTCACACAATAATTAAATTTAGAGAGGAAAAGGATGTAACCAAGTCATATTTTGAAAGCAACATAAGTACTTGCAGAATTATTATACAACAAGCAATGTTTTCCAGTTACTCTAAAAGGGAATTTCAACAAGAAACGCAAAACAAAATGAAAGCAAAAGAAAAAAATAAAAGGAAAGACACTCTGACATTCTTTGACAGGATTTTCCCCTTGGGTACAGTATTGTAATTGGCCATTAGTGGGAACTGGAGAGTATTTGCCTGTGTTTTTTCTGCTGTACTGTAAGGACAACAATACAGTAACCGTCAAAGCAGACAATGAATTCCTTTTCCAAACAGAATGATAACCATAGCAACAAACTTGCTGTCACAAAGCAATGAATAATGCAATAAGTTCCTTTAAAAATGTTACAAGCTCTGCATTATGAGAATCATAAAAATCCTTCAGTTGGTATGGTTTTACTTTTACTAAACAATTTGACTTGGAGTAGGGGGTCCTCATGTTATTTTTATTTTATTTCATCAGTTGTGCTTATACCCCACCTTTGTTCCAATAAACTCAGAGAATCATAAATGACTCTCTTCTTCCTCACTTGTCTGAGGCAGAGCAGACTGAGAGAAAGTAACTGGACCAAGATCACCAAGTGAATATCATGTCCCAGTGGTGACTGACACACGGATCTCTCCCAAGGCCCAATCCAGTATCCTTGTCTCTGAGTCACAAAATTGCCTAGCTTTGGGTACTGTGCAGCTTGACATGGGGGTTGCTGGCTGGTGTGCACTCTTTTTGCTTGGCACAAATCACTGCAAAGGTGTCAGAGAGCACAGGGAAATGCTTTAAAAATGTTTGCTTGTCTGTGTGTTTGTTTGTTTGTTTTTGAAGGGGAAATAATGACTGTATCATATTTATATTGACTGTAATGGAGTTCTGGATACCCAGAAATTCAGAATTTTTAAAAATATAAATTCCAGATCCAAATTTTGAAGCCGAACTTTGGTGACAAGGCTAGCAAGCCTTGTGGGAGAAATAGCAGGAAATGTTTTCAGTTTGGGGAAGAACGGAAACTACTGTAGGTGAGATGTTGTGTCATCTCATCTGAGACCAGGGTCAAATCCTGGGCCATTTCAATTCATTTATAATGTCCTTTCTTCCATATGTTATTCTTTGCTGAGATTTTAATAGGCTCATTGAAAGATATCTCTGGGCAGTGCTGCTTCCCATATTCTAAAGTTCTACTGGCTTCTAACACAATTTCCGTGTATGTCTGGCCTGTAGCACTAAGCCAGCTGTCACCCCCATTATATTAAGCCATTGCCCCCCAACCTGCCCCAAACGTGCATTATATGCCATTTCCTTCAATTTTCAACCTCTTCCCAGCACAACAAAGTGCTGCAGGAGAAACAGAAGTTTCCAGAAGCATAAGGCCAATTCTCCACAGAGGGAATGGTGGTTTGTGGTGGTCTGTGGCTACCCATGAACCATGAAACTTCTTAACTTTTACAAAAATGAACTACGAACCACTTTGTTTTTTTAAAAAATTGTCCCTGGGGGCGAGGGGAAACTAAACTTATATGGCGCTAGATCACCCATTTGCTGCCCCACAGCCTGCTCACTGCACCTGTCCCCTCCTTCCATGGCCCGATTGCCTCTTCTTCTTCTTCCTCCTCCTCCTCTTCTGTTGCTGCCATCTTGAGAGACAGGACGAGCTTCCCTTCCAGAAACCCGGCTTGCAGTCTCTGTGCCTGCCCCACTTATCAACTGATAGGCAGGGGGATGCACAGAAACTACAGGCCCAGGTCCTGGAAGGGAAGCCAGGCCTGCTGTGTCTCAAGATGGAGGCAGAGGTGGAGAATGAAGAGGAGGAGGCGACAGGGCTCGGTAAGGAGGCGATGGGGGCAGTGGGAAGAGGGGGAGCAGGCTGTGGGGGCATGGGGGACTAACCAGGAAGTTAAATCATTAAAAAAGTTTGTGATTCGGGTTGGTTCAGGTTCATCAGTTTTGATGAACCCAAACCAGAGTTTTTTAACCAACTTCCTGGTTCTTTTTTTCTTTCGTGCCCATCTGTAGTCTGGAGTCACTTTTCGAAAAGGGCGGCCTTAGAGACACACACACCCCTTTGCTTGGGCTACAATGATCGCTACCTCATCAGACCATGCCTCTGCAAAAAAAGAGAGGAGAGGTCTGTGTGTAATGGAAAGTCTGCCCTGTGCTTCTGGAAGCCCTGCCACCAACTCCTCTTCTTTCCCTTCTGGTGATATGTACGGATAGGTGGAGGTCAGCAGTGGGGAAAGGCATTTAATGGATGTTTGTGGTGGGGAGACTGTGTCCCTGAGCTGTGGATGATGATGGCAGCTGCAGGAAAGTGACTTGTTTGCTGCCCTTCAGACTCCTGTCACAGCCCCCTCAGTGAGGCTAAAAGTGAGTCTGTCTCTGGTCGGGACTAATCCTTCTACAGTACTAGGTTCACTTTCAGGACATCACAATGACACACTGCCACAATAGGATGAGCATTTAAGTACCACTTTCTCCTTCTGCAAATCTCCTGACCTTTGTACATGCCTCACTTCCAGGCAATTAAAAAAACAAAACAAAACCCAAGCATATTTTGCTTTGTTTTGTTTGCTTTTTAGTAATAATCTAAAGATTTGGGGCCAAATCCCAACTAGAATAGAAATTTGCTGAATCAATTGCTGAATGGTGACTCAACAGTTACATAAATCCCATTGATTCAAAAGTTCTAATTCCGTTGGGAATAACAAGTGGATTTAAACCTACGAGAAAGGTTGCTGCATTTGTATTAGCACTGAATTTTACTGAAAATAATACTCTGAATAACAATACTTAAAGTATTTTTGCAATGCCTCTAGGTGTTCAAATAATTTCATATACTGTATATTATCCGCTTGAACCTCTTACAAAAACCCTGCAAAACTCTCTTACAAAAATCACTTCAACCTTATTCTTACCCTTTGTATTTAAGATAGGATGGGAAGCTACACTAAGAGAAAAAGATTCAGAGTGAGTTTATGGAAGAGATGAGATTTGGATGGTCTTATATCCTGTTTATATAGGATTTTCCTCTGTTTCAAGGGCTTCCCAGCCAAATCGTTTAAAAATAAAGCACCCTTAGAAGAGAGCATAGGATCATGACATCACAGTCTTCCCTCATGATGAGACAGGTCCTGTATTCCTTTTTAAATCATATTCATTCTTTCTATATTTACATCTGTACCTACCCAAGAATAAAAATTGGATAGCATATATAGTAATAGTATGCACACATTTGATACAAAACTATCTAATTTTCCTTTTTGAGTGGTGTTTTATCTTTTTGGTGATGTGTAAGTAGTCACCCTAAATTAAATTTATAAGGCTGCCTCTTAGCAGTCCTGCTAGAGCAACTGATTCTATGTAATTTTATGTATAAAACCAACCATTACCTGTGATCTGATTCTGGTTTTCTCCTCGTCCTCAATCTTTTTGTAATGGCTGATGCCTAAAATACCATAAATAACTCTGCATATACAATGACCATAATCTGTCTTGTGTTATAGAAAGCTTGTTAGTACAGTACATTTGCAGTACTGTAAAATCCAGTTCCTCAGGAAGGACTCATACCTCAGGCTACAACACATTCTCAAAACTGTAATATCTGTCAAATTGGGGGTGAAGCACAACTAAGCCCCTCCAGATGCTTTTGGCCTAGAATCACACTAAGTTCTGGTGTACATGGCATGGCCAAGAAGAGGAAGAGATGACAGGAGCTGCCCTAAAAAACTAATCTGCAATACCCCTATTGCCCACCCCTGCATTAAATGAAGAAACAGATTGACAGCAGAAGCCCACCAGATGGATGAAACCAGACAGAACATAGTTTGTGGTTACCGAGAGCCCTCAGTTAAAGCTATTCTAACAAATTACCAGTTATAGCAATTGCTATTGTGAATTGGTCAGTTTGGTTTTATGTATGTTTTGGTTCTGAACATATGCGTACCAGACCTCCGCCTGTCATTCCTTAGCTTTTTTTTTTGACTCATTGCTCAAACACACCAATTGAAGTGATGATTTAATGCATCTGATGAAATGGTCTCCAGTACACCAAAGAGTATGCCCCATACTCTAAATGTCATTTAGCTTTGAAGGTACTAAAATATCCTTGGTGGGTTTTATTCCCAACTGTGATTTTTCTTTCCTCACATTGTGACTTGTCAGAATGCGAGTGACTGTCTGGTACCCCTTTCTTCTCAGCCATTACACTGTGCTATAGTAGCTCACAACTATCAACGTACTGCTGCAGTTATAAAATGTTTAGTGCAGGAGGTCATCATGACAGTCTCCATAGCCACGCTCCTAAGAGAATTCATAGCCATGTACCTTAAAGTGGAAAGATGCAGACAACTGTGTTTGCCTGTTCAATCTCTTTCTGCAGAGCTTGGAAAGATGCCTTTTTGGATTACATCTCCCAGAACCCCCAGCTTGCACAGCCAGTGGCTGGGATTTCCAATATAGGCGTCTACAGTACTATAACAGGACGTAGTTTAAAAGACTGTATCAACAACGGCTTTTGTGAATGGATCAGTCCAGTCTTACATCTGTTTTGATTCTGCAACAGCCACCCTTCAAAGGCATATGTATGTATTGTGTGTGGGGGGGTATACATCAGGATAGTCTCTCAAAGCCCAACAGCACCAAACATATTACTGTACTGAACTTGCTAGGTAGGGCCATAAAGATTGTCACCCAGAGGCAGGATGAGATCTAATACCGTATGTTTAAGTTCAAATCCTAGAAGTAACTAGTTCCTTTAGTGCAATGCTAAACTATTAGTTATAAGTTACTTTGGATGTAACACATAACACCTAGTTAGGTTTCAAAAGTTTCTTCTAAGGGTCATTTAAAGACAGGAATGTTTAGGATTTGTGCCATTCTGTTATCAATCCTAAGTGGTAAGTGCTTTTCTTTTTGTACTTTATATGTGCAGAATTCTAAGATGCAGTATCTGAATTGGACACTAGAGTTTTCCTTTTTTTAATTGATTGTTAACAATCAACAACTCAAACTGCAACCTTGCTGCTAAAAAGTAGTGAGCAGCACAAGTTCTGTTTGAAATGTAACATGATGACCTGCTTAAATTACAGGAGGGCAGATACTTGTTAAATTTTAGGAGAAACTTCTTGATGATAAGACCAGTTCTGCAACCAAACTAATGATCTCCCTTGCTGAAGGTTTTCAGGCAAATATTAAACAGCCACCTATTATGGGATGGATGCTCTCATGCTGGATTTCCTGCATAAAGCAGTGATCTGGATTGGATGGTATCCAGCTCTGTGATTCTAGGATAATCTACTCTGACATATCTTTTCTCTCTAATTCTATTGTAAAGCCTTCTAAACCCTTCGTCAGTACATTTTGTGGCAGTCAATTCACACTTGTTGTCATGTGTGCACAAAACACACACACACAGATATGCTTTGTTATGCTCTACTGAAAAGTTTTAACTGATGTAATGTTTGTTGTGCAGCTTAGAGTCTTTTTTGGACTAAAACTCTCAAAATCCACTCGCCAACAAAGGGTGACTCTGGGGGCTGTCACCCCAGAAAAGCAAGTTCTCCATGCTTGGATTTAGCACTATTTTAAATCAAATTTTTAAGAGCAGAAAAACTGCTGCTAAGAAAGTGGGTTACTGATGTCACAAACTCCCAGCAAATCAGGGCAGTGTACAGCCAGCCTCTACCTTCTTATACATACAGTATTCTTAAAACCTTGGTTGGGGGGGTGGCGGCTGCAATTTTAGGCATGAACACAGTAGAGTAAACCCATGACTCAAGAGAGATACTTTTGGATGCATCGTTAGTGCCATAGCTATGTTCACAAGGATATCAAAAGTTAGAACCAGTGGACTTCTGCAATGGTTGTAAGCTTGTCACACTGGTCATGTGAATCACCAAACACACACAGAGTGCAAATCACCATAAACTTTTAAAAAACTGTATAAAATTCATTGTCTCCTGGAAATCATAAGCTGGAACTAAGTCACACCATTCACAAATCCAACTCAGGACAGTCACTATCACTTGAATATTTCAATATATGTAGCATCAGAAGCAAATAAGCGTGATTTGTTCACTTCTTGCACCATGTGCACAGAAGAGTCATGCGTGGCCACAACCCTCCCTCCCTCTCTCTCTGTTTAATTACACACACAGTACATACAGAGACACGAGCACAGTGAGCCACTTATACCCAGATGCTTATCCATACTCTTTATAGGCTCTAACATCTGAATACACTGAAATGCATTTTCCACATCATGGAAGGACTTTAATACTAATACTGATGCTTTCCTTATTCTGCTGTTTTAAAGAAATGCCTTGTTCATTTGTGAACACTTGTGCGCAGGCTGAACTGGGTTCTCCCTGCCTGCTCAATGCCTTTTCATCCATCAATTTTGGCATCTTTGTTGCTACCTGTTGTCCCTTTTTTCCAAACACTCCCCTGCTCCTGCACCTCCATACAATTTTTTTTTCTCACACACCATCACCACCCTGCCAGGCTCCAGCACCCTTCTCCAGCACCCTCTTTTGCATGGCCTGTTCCCACATGCTGCTGCAACACATCCAGGCATGCTTTCTCCCAAACCATCCATGTGCTCACCCACTCCCGCTCACACAACTTGCACAAGAGTGGTACAGTGGCAATAGTGCCGATGAAGGTGCAAACTGTACCTGTGCTTTCCCTTTCATTTTCTGATCCCGTTGCTTCCTTCTGCAGGAGCCAGGAGAGGATGACAAGAACACTCCAGGAAATCTTCAGCAATCCCAGGTGCATCCCCATCTTCTCAGAAGCTCTTGACCCTAACTTTCTGCTGTTTTCCTCCCTCGTAGTTTCGCCTCCACAGCTCCTGGGCTCCCTTTATTTTTTAGCAGATCTCACATTCAGTTTGGATGGCTGAACAAATCCTGCAACATGCTATGTCTGTGGAGAAATTTGACAGGCGGTGGGGGGGAAATCAGCATTTGGGGTCTGCTGCAGCAAGCAACTATCAAAGCTCAGCTGAGCAGGGTTTGGACAGGGAAAGCAAAAGAGGGAAGCAGGGAGGGAGGGAGGAAGAGAAGCAGGGAGGGAGGGAGAAAAACAAGGTGAACTGCCTGCCCTCTTGTGGTTGGACAGCCAATGTAACCCTGTTCTAAGAGGATTTAGTGCCTAGTCTTTGGGTGTTTTAATGTTCAGTGGAAATCTGTGCTGAAATACAACAGTAATGTAAGAGACAAACCAACATGGACTATTCCAGAGTTTCTTAAAGAATAGCATTTCCACATGGCCTGGGCTCATGAAGTTGGAGGGCCAGGATTATTGAATTAACAGGGACCAGGGATGATGACATCTATCATCTCTCCTCTTGGACTACTCCTGTTTTCTCTAAGATTGGTACTGTATAATGCTCAAAGAAGCAAAAAAAAAAATTTTTTTTTGACAGTATATTGTGACCTATCTCTGTTGCATGAAAAGTAGTTTTGGGTGGCTTGGTCTTGAATAGGCAATTAAGACTCATTCACTTTACAAAATGCCTGCTTCCCTAGCAGAGATGAAAACCACTAGAACCGGTTGACAACAGATCTGGATGGTGAGATTCTCCTTGTTCATCTAGATATGTTTGGAGGAGGGACGTGAGCTTCTGCAGTCAGAATTGCTACTGCAAGCAGCAGAATAATGGTAGAGAGGCTCACATCTTTCTTTCTTTAGCGTCCCAGGGAGCTACTTTCTGGGAATAAAGGGGTTGCATTGCTTTGTTATCTGCAGATTCTGGGTGCTGTAATCCAAGAAGAAGAAGAAAAAAAAATTTAAGATAAAGAACTGGAAAAATTAACAAAATTCAGAGACCTAACAATAGAAATTATTACTCACATGTGGATGAAACACATTTCACTGGTCCCCATAGTCAGTGGGACATTGGGAACAATGAATGCAGAATTTTATAAAATTTTATCATCAGGTACAGATCTCTGAAATAACACCATCAGAGCTGCAAAAAAACGGTAATGTTAAGAACAGCATACATTTATTTATTTACAAGATTTTTTTAGCCGCATCATTACCAATGGTCCCTGAGTGGCGTACAACAATATTAAAACTTTAGAAAAACATTAAAAACATTTTTTAAAATATTATAGTACCTTTAGAAAAACATTAAAAACATTTTTTAAAAATATTTATCATTAATAAATCCTGCTGCTCATACGGCCAGCTAAAGGATATTATTTAATTAAAATGCTGGCTAAACAGAAAGGTCTTTGCCTGGTGCCAAAAGTGTCGGAGCCAGGTGGATCTCTATAAGGAGGGCGCTCAAAAGTTGGGGGCAACAGCCGAGAAGGCCCTATTTCGACATGCCATCCCCCCTCACCTCTTTCAGGGATGGCACCTTCAGAAGTGCCTCCTGGCTTGATCTTAAGAGTACGGGCAGGTTCGTATGGAAGAAGGCGGTCCTTTATGTAACCAGGTCCTAAGCCATTTAGAGCCTTATATGTCAAAGTAAGCACTTTGAATTGGGTCCAAGCAGCAACTGACAGTATACATACTATACTGATATTCAACTGACACTTAGGTTTTTGGTTAAAACTTGTATCTGTTGTATACCAGTCAGACTGTGGCTTGTATTTTTTTAAATAACAACATTATTACATGAATAACATGATAGAGTGGCAGTTAGTGAACTGGTCATTATGCAAAAAATATAACTTGCCAGCCTCCAAAAACCCATAGGAACATCAGATAGAGAAGGTGTCAGAAAATGAGGAAGTGGGATTTCCAAATCCAAACGGATAGAATTTGTGGGATTTCCAAATCCAAATGGATAGACACCTTGAACATAACACACCAGACATAGTAGTAATAGAACAAAGAGATGTCTGGACCGGTGACATTGCAATTCCGGGAGATGCCAGAGTTGAAAATAAATAATTAAAAAATACTAAGAAAATACAGAGATCTGGCAATTGAAACATTTTGTTTGTGGATGAAACACACTTTAGTGGCTCCTGTAGCCATTGGGACTTTGGGAACAATATCAAGAGCACTGAAATAGGGGGGACGTGTTACTCATCACTAATTACACATACCTCCACAATATCGTATTCTAAGACTATTCCTTTCTTTTGAACATGAACTGTACTTTATAGCAGGGAAAATATGATTCCAAATACATCATAACCATTACTACTACCATCTGAAACAAGAATAGCAATTTTCAAAAATATATTCTGGTGGCTTTTTATGGACATACAATTTTTAGCCAGAATTAAGCCACACTAATTGTTTTAACCTTTATAGTGCCATGCCTCTACTGTAACAGAACTAATATGATTACCTCTTTGGGAAGATGTTACCATGGGTGCAGAAGCACCTCATTCACATAGTGACATTCTTTTGGATTAGTCATAGCTTAGGATGCTTTGGTAAGTTAATGGGGGTGGTGGAGGTGGTACATGAATATATCGAAGAATTAGATTTATTCAATATAACTTAAGAAGAGAAGAGAAGCTAGAACTGAATGGCTTTCTGGTTCCTAACTCTGAAACGTGCAAGACAAAATGAAGTTCATTTGTACATGTACATTGGTCTACATTTAGACAGGTTGACATAGAAGAGGAAGTGATCTGCAGAATACACATAGAACACAGTAAGCAAGGGAAGTTGCCTTAGACCAGTGGTTCCCAACCTTGGGTTTCCAGATATTCTTGGACTAAAACTCCCAGAAGCCTTCAGCATTAACTGTGCTACCCAGGATTTCTGGGTGTTGTAGTCCAGTAACACCTGGGGACCCAAGGTTGGGAACCATTGCTTAGAGATCATTGTTTCTCTATCTTTGGTACCTAATTTCCATATTCAGGGTTTTGGCAGCCAGAAGCCCTAGCCATGATGTCAAAATATCAAGGAATCTTGGACTAAAGTGTAAAATGTCTGAAGTATCAAAGTTAAGAACCTCTGCTTTAAACCACATTATGCAGCACCTTTCATTCAACATGCCAGGAATCAAACCTGGAGTATTCTGCTTACAGAGCAGGTGGTGTGCACTGAGTGGAGGTCCTTCTATCTGGCCTGGCTCAAGACATTTTGCTGCCTGAGCCAAAGAAGCAAATGACAGTCCTTACTCAGGTCGCGATCCCTAGCATTGAAATCCAGGCATGTTGTTTTGTCATGTGAAACAGAAAATCTTATAAGCATGTCTCCCATTACTGGCAGCAAACCACCATGAGAGAAATAACAATTCATTTTCTCACCATGATACTCAAAATTAGCCACTTGAGGCTGTGCTCTCACTCTGCCTAATGGTAGAGGTGATGTGATCCTATAGCAGTATAATGGAGTGCAACATTACCAGAGTGCTGATGGAAGAATCAGACTTTTGCAAGTTACACAAAGACTTGCCAAGCAGAATATAGCACAGGAGAGAGTAGCTTAGGGCGAGACTTACATGGGGATTTATCTCACTGTTTGATCAGCTGTGGGAATGGGCTGGCTTGCTCCTTATCCAGTAACCCCTCAATGTATTAGGCATCCTTCAGTCTCGAGAGACTATGGTAATGTGCTCTGTATGGAGGACTTGGAACAGCATCCAGTGTGGCTAAGAAGGCCAATTTGAGAGTGACAATCCCTTGCCATACTGAAGACAAATATAATCTGTCCCCTGTCCAGCTCCTTGATTTTGCTGCTTTTCGGACTGCCTCTTTGCTTCGGCCTGCTGGACAAGGGTCTCTTCGAATTGGGAGAGGCCATGATGCACCGCCTGCCTCCAGGCTGAACGCTCAGATATCAAAGTTTCCCAGCTGTTGAGGTCCATTCCTAAGGCCTTCAGATCCCGCTTGCAGATATCCTTGTATCACAACTGTGGTCTCCCTCTGGGGCAACCACAGCTCCTCAATGTATGTCAGCACAAACCAGCCCATCCCCAGAGCATTCCTACTTGCACCTTTTTCACTTCCTGAAAGAGGGTACTCTTTTTTTAGGTGCTCTGTTTTGGTTTGGTTCCAGCATGTGCAATCATTTGGATCGAATCCAAGTGGATTGCTTGCAGCTTTCAATTTCCCATTCCCTTTCCCTATGTTCTTAAGTGGCTTAAGAAGACAGCTTAACCTCCTAACGATAGTGGGAAATTTAAAACTTCCTCTGCTTCTCCGTTGAGAAGCAAAGTTTTTGTTTTAATGCCACCATGTCAGGCAGACAGTACTGTCCTCTGAAAAGCCATCTGCAACAGTGGCAGCAGAAGGAAACCAGAAATCCTTCAAGTCCGGGACAAAACAGGGAAGCTACAGATGAACTACAACTCCCAGAAATCCAGGATTTCTGAGAGTTGTAGTCCATCTGGGGACCCAAGGTCGGGAATTCCTGCCCCACTGCAATGTGACTTTTCAAAAGACTTTTAGTGCATCCCCTGACTCTTGATACACCTGCCTAGAACTAATTTGGTCCATGGACTGAACTGCGGTTTAGATACTATGAAACAAAGTTCATCATCAGTAAGTGTTGTTTTCGGGAAGCTCAGGAAGGAGATGTGAAGGCAGAAGTTTCCAAAAAGACAAAGACAGCATGTATAATAAAGAAACATTTTAATAATAAAAAAACCTCCCCACATACCATGTCTGGAAATATTCTTTTAAAATCTACCCCAACAGAATAGCAGTTACTTGTGAAAGAAATCCCTTTATGGTCAAAAAGCAGAGCCTTCTAAATTATGAACCACATACCCTTTTAACATCATTAAGTACTGTACAGTCTGTAACAATGAATGTTGGACTCCATATAGAAGAAACGGAGGCAGTACACGTTATCTTGCCCGTGTCTTGGGGAGATTATGAAATAGTGAGGTGTTAAGAATAGATTGAAGCACTTCAGATTGTAGACTGCAGTGGACCTTATGTGACCACTGAAACTGCCCTGAACTATCATTTGGTAAAAAACCAAAGGTAAACATTATAAATTGTTGGTATGGCTTCCTAGCTATTTCCTGGCTTTGCGGCAGCTATTTTATGTTTATTTAACCTCCTTTCAACTTATTTTGTGATTAAAGATCACTTATTAGTTTTATTTTTCTTTAAAACAGTTGTTCTATACCCTAACTATGACCTCGACATCTGGCACAATGCCTGCTCCCAACTGGAACTGCACGTCTTACCCACTCCTCCCAGGTAGGATGGCTGAGGATGCTGACCCTGAGAGGCTCATAAAGAGAAAATGAGAAATCGGCCCTTCTCGGTGGTTGTTCCACAGCTATGGAATCAGTTACCACCTGCGATTTGTTTAGCTCCTCTGCGGGGGATAGGGTGGGAGAAACCTCAAGAAACAGCTTAAGACTTGGCTATTTCGGCAAATTTTTCAAACTCTGTCAACTATGGAGACTACTTAAACGGCAGTTAACAGCCTATGACACTTGATCACCGTGAATCTGTTATCATAGAATGTATTTTAAACTGTTTGATTACTGTTATGTTTTCCTTCTCATAGCCGAGTTATTGTTATATTTTAACGTTTTGTTGGTTTCTTGCTGTGAACCGCCCAGAGTAGCCCTCGGCCAGATGGGCGGTGTATAAATTGAATAAATAAATAAATAAACTATCTGAATGGAACAAGGAATTCTTCAACCGGCTTCCTCCTATGTTCATGGGCATCTGTTGACTCAGCCTTCTATCCTTCCGAGGTCAGTAAAATGAATACCCAGCTTGCGGGGGGGGGGGGGAAGGGTGGGCGGCAAAATTAA